TATGCTACATACTGTTTGTCACTCTGCGCAATGAAAGTTGAGGAACAGATACGTAAAAAGCTCAGTATGCAGAAGCGGATGGAGGAAGCTGTCTCTGAGGAGATTGGAAGTGCCACTGGCTAGTACTAATGAAAGAAGAAGGAAGATCCAGCTTGTTCACGGGTTGGGTTGGAACAACACAAAACAAAAGGGCAGCAACAGTGCGTTCTGGTGGTGATGTTTTTTATGTGGTGATGTGTGATGTGTGTATTTTGTCTTCGCTGTTTCTGCGAGCAGTATTTCTGCAAGCAAGCCGGGTGTAGTCGTTGTGTTGGAGGTGGAGGTCAGACTGACCGTGCCGGTGTCTTTTGGTAAATATAATGTTTATATTTTTTGTGAGATTTTAAGCGAGCCTGTTTCGCCAAATTGAAAATCATTTGATTGTGACTATCATCCCCCAAAATTCAAGTTCATTTGACAAACTTTGGACACTTATGAGTAAAAACCGCTTTTTGGTCGCTTCTCCTCAATTCCCTCAAAGTCCTTATTTTACTCAAATTTGAGTAAATTGAGGAGAAGCGACCAAAGTCCTCACTTTTGGTGGCTTCTCCTCGCTTTTGCCTGAGCCATCCAGATTATTCTATGTTTTTGTTTGTTTGTTAAGTATGAGTTGCTCCTTTTCCTCCACGCGATCACAAATGACTTAAGAGGGTCTTTCTGTTTTCCAACAATGACCAAAATCCTCGTTCTGCCGGGTGTTCCGCAGTGGTTCAAACCGGGAATGGTATTTGGGCTCCATCCCGTTTTTTTTGAAGTAGTCGTGTGTGTCATACATTCGAGTCTAATGAGTCTAACGCAGCGAATAGGGTCGTTCTCTGTGTCACCACCACCCGGGTCGTATGTAACCAGCTCTCCTTGGGGGAGGGGAAATCGGTATACTCCGTCTTCAAGCCAAAATATCATACCTGGTAGCGAGCATGGCGGGTAGTACATAGGTGTCGGGTGATGCCCGACATATATTTGATCTGAATAAAGGATAAAAAAACTACCAGCGCATGCCCCAGGATCGACATTTGACATGCATTCCAAAAAAAAAGAACCATTAAGGGCGATGGTTAGGTCAGCACAAGAGAACAGATCAGCTTCTAAAATTTTACGAATGTCAAGAGGATTCTCTTCTACTTGATGAGGATTTCTTCCAGGCAAAGTACAATATACTAGACTCCAGATCAACAACAACTGCATTGAACATGAACGTAGATGCCAAATCATTTTCTCAATCAGCAAGCACCTTTACATTTCCGCATACACCTGACAGAACCATCCAAAAGTCTGACGTTGTTGCAGCAATGATGATTCAATGGAAACAAAGGGTGTCTCTATTATATGGCAAGCAAGATAGCACAAGTTCTCTGTGGGATGATGACGACAATATTTCACTTGGAGAAAACAAAGAACAGACTGTTGAAGTGTCGTCATGGTGTTGTGTCAACAATGCCAATGCTATTCCACTGAATGATGGTCAGGCATAGATCATTGAGACCTACCAAAAATATTTGCTATACCCCAAGGATCACAGTGTGGTTCAACCGCCTGCTGTTGTGCTTCTAACAGGTAAAGGCGGGACAGGAAAAAGCTTTGTGATTCACTGGCTACTTATGCTTGGCAACACCACAAAACAAACTTCAAGAGTTTGGATTATGGCATCAAACAATTTGGATATGGCTGACATAGATGGTTCTACAATTGCAAGTTTGCTGAAACAAAGAATTCAAAAGAGGCACAAAGACAAATTGCAGATAGTGCAACAAAAGATATGCCCAGCAAGAGTCATCCGATTGGAAAAACAAAATGTACAGGATCTACGACTAATAATAATCGATGAGGTGTCCAACGTAACAGCTTCAAAATTGGGCGAACTCTCCAGGCTGTTTAGCGAAATGCTACAAAATCCGGATCAGTTTTTGGAGGTATACCGGTCCTTTTAGTAGGGGATTTTAATCAAAAGGAACCAGTTGGTGGCATATTGGCAACAACAAGTCTGATAAAGAAGGTGAAGAACAAAATTGGGCATTCCAAACATTCAACAACTTCAGAGCACAGATTGAAGAAGAAACAAAAAACGTCAATTGAGACCACAACGCCTTCCCTCCTTGATGCAAATTGCCATAATGTTGTTTCCGACAATAACTTGGGATGTGACATACTTTCAGCTTCTCGCTGGTTTGAACTCACTGAAGCTGAAAGAAGCAAAGACACAAGCCACAACAACAACATTTACAGCCTTTACAAAGGGATCCAATCCAGCCTGACAAATTCCAAATGTACAAACTTTACAATGACAAAACCCTAAAAGCAGATACACTTGACAAGCAGCAAAGGTGGCTAAAAGCTCCAGTCATAGTGAAGACTAACAGGGAGCGGTGTACCATCAACTACTCCAGAGCTGTTCAATTTGCCAAGGCAAGAAACGTTGTTTTAGTGCGCTGGCCTTCCCAATACAAAAAATGGATGGGAAAACCCCAAAAAAAACCAGATGTTGCTGAAATGATCAATAACGATTCTGCTTTTTGCGAATTTTTTGTCCCTGAGTTGCTATGTTACTTAGCCGGTACAATTTCAAAGGAAAGAAAACTTTGCAATGGATGTTGGGATATGACGAAATATGAGTTTTTACGTTCAAAATAAACAGTGAATGAGAGCATGTCCCATTGCTGCCAATGGTGATTGTCACAATGGCAGGAGTATGTTGGGATATGACGAAATATGAGTTTTTATGTTCCAAAAGAAACTATTCAAGTACGAATTTTTTGACACGTGCGATCGGACTTTGATCGTGATGTCGGGATTCGACGCAAGTCTGCCGGACACAAGTCTGTCGGACAATCTGTATCCACACAAAAAGGGAAAATCGTTGAACTCACTTTTGGGATATGACAAAAAAGGGATTTTAAGTTCCGAAAAGAAACTATTCAAGTATGAAGTTTTCAACACGTGCAATCGGAATTTGATTGCAATGTCAGGATTCGACGCAAGTCTGCCGGAGGCAAGTCTGTCGGACAATCTGTATCCACACAAAAAGGGAAAGACCCTATACAAGTGGAATATCAATGCTGTGTACGATGCAGTAGGGAATAATGCAAGATGTCCCAAAGTACTGCATTCAACACAGAATTGTCGTAGAAGTCGAATCAAGTTCTGTAAACAAGGGATTTTCCAATGGAAAATCGTCGAACTCACTTTGATTGAATCATCAATTCAAGCCAAACATCAATCAAATAGGAACAATTTCACTCAAAGTATACCTAGACACAGGAGAACTATTGTTGTGAAAGTGTTGTAAAGTCGATTACAAATTTAGATTGCAGAGAGTTTGTTCTGAGCGCTAAAGGCACTCACGATAGAGCACATTTTGCTTTATTCTAACATTCAATCACAAAAGGCAACAAAACAAATTTACGTCAAAAACAGCACTGCCTTATCTACAAAGGAGTGAGTGATTTGTTGACCATGGGACGTTCTTCATCCGGTGGAGGAAAGGGACGTGTGACTCCTCAGAAAGTTAAGAGCAATTCAAGCTCAACAGTTGTGAAACATCTCTTTTCAACGAAAAATGAAAACGATGGAAAGGCAAGATCGTCGTACGAAGATGCCGAAGAAAGAGTGATTGACTACATCCAAGCTTCTGGAATGAAATGCTCTGAAGACATGGTGAAATCAATTTGAGTTGGAAAGTCGATCAACTTCAATGCAATCGCTCCAACATTGAATGCTCCAACTCAAACTGAAGCTGTTGCAAGAGAAACAGAGATGGCTCAAAACAAGATTCTCTATTCTGCAAAGCTCAACGAGAACATGCAAAGATCAGCCTACTTCGAAGAAACGAACAACCGAACTGTCAAATCAAACATCATGCTTAAGTTTGTGACAAAAGCGATGGATATCAAGCTTCAAGGTGAAGCCGATTTCACGACTACTCTTGAAGATCCATAGAAAAAAGAATATCAGAAACGAAACAACACGCAAACACGCAGAACCAGCCAATCTGCCTCGCGTAGCGCTAGTACTGATTTTACGTAGAAAACTTTGAAATTATCATCAACAAACGGCAAAACACTGGTTTGAACATGGGCAAATCTCCAGCTCCGAAGGCTGCCATGGCTAATACAAAAAAGCAGGGCGTGGCAAAGTCGAAGTAGGAAAAAAAGCGATGAAAAAACGACTGGAAATTGATTTGGAACTACCCAAAGACAGAGATCCTGTCAGTTCCAATGATGTGGACGTCAAGCAACTCGCTAAAGACCAAGACGCGCTACAAATCGCCAACAAAATGGAGGCACAACGAATAGCCGAGCGGGATGCTCGTCGTGGCGATCACTATGACAAATTGGTGCCTAAACTTTCTGAGTGGTGGATGAAGCAATTGTATTCAGGAGAGGCGGTCAACCAAGCGCTGCAAAGAATGGACCGTATTCAAACGGGTAATCCTTTATTTGCAGCCTGGGATGAACGATACCCTGGCGCATGGAATCAGCCATGCCTACGATACGATGCCTTGTTCAACGACTTTATGGGCACATCAACATGCTATGAGAGATTTATTCAGATATTTCATTATCTCAATTCTGATAACACACAGCTGGCCCAATACCTCATCTCTTCATTCGATCTCTCCACAATTGAGGATAAAGTTGCTGAGGATGTCTGGTCACTTCAAGTTCTTGCAATACAAATTTCTTTGCAGAACCCTTTCTCATTTTTTGGCATTGAAGAATTTGAAGAGAAACTGCACAACAATCAATTCTTTGATGGTGCCAAGTCGGATCCACGACTTCGCCTCAAAAATCCGTTGATTGGCTTTTGGTTGATCTGCTCTGAACTATTTGATTATCCATGGGCGACTACATTTGATGACAATTACTACAATGATCCACCTTCGTCTATCATATGAGGTATCAAATAGAAACGTTCAGCGCCCCCTCAATCCTTCTTCCGATCATCCAGGGCCAACCAACAATCCCAACAAGCAATTCAGAAGATTTACGATCCGATGTATGGATCAGAAGAAAATCCTAATCAGCAAGATATGGACAACCGGCAGCAGCGCAATCAATCCAACAATCGTTATAGTGCCCTTGCAGACAATGATGGATCGGATGGAGATGGGGCTTCTAAAGATGGGGATGTAGAGGCAGACCCAATGACAGTTGATGGAAGGGAGACTCTGGATGACGATGAAGACAATGAGGCGTTTGTCAAAACCCTAGGCCCTTACTGTCCTCCGATGACGATGAAGACAATGATGATGGTGATGGGGACATTACATCCGTGCAGATGAAAGATGCTGGAGAAGATGAAGAAAGGAAGGGTTCGATAGACGCTATGGCAAGGGAGGATACCAACCCGGTGCTGACTCAAGTCAGTCCTGGGGGTCAATTTACGCCCGTGGCTTCTCAGAACCCATTGCCAACAACCAACTCACGCCTACAACGGCCACTGACTGTTGAGGAAAAACTCCCCAGGCTGACTCAAGTGAACCTCGTGGGAATCCCTGGGAAATGCCACATTTTCGAAACAACCTTTGTCTTTGATTACCAGGGTTCCGAGTCAGGAACAGTTGCAGAACGGATTCTCTCGACAGTCTTGCACTCCCTGGAGGAAGCGATCAATAATTCTCCTCATGAATTGCGGATTCTTCCAATTTCTGACAGCACTTATAAACCGCAGAACTTATTGATTCGATCATCGGCGGACATTCGTAACAAACTACCAAATTATTGGGCTCTTTCGGTCTACTGCGATATGGACTACGGAAACTGTGCTTACGCTGCCACTAACAGTAAACCGGGCGAGAAGAAGTTGCGTACCAGGCTACGGGGCGGCTTTGCCTCAGATGTTTCGACAGAGGCAGTTCAAGACTACTTGCACATAGGACTTTGACATCAAGGTCAGGGAGCCGGATGTTATCCGTCACCACTTCAGTATGGTGAAATTGTGAAGATCGGTTCTTGCTTGTATATTCCGGCCAAAGTTAATTTCTCTGCATACGCTAAGGAGCTGATGCGGCTCTTTGATTTTTTGGTTCCAATTGGCATCAAACTCAACTGGGTGTCTATCCCGTATAGCCGCGCCAAATATGATGAACGCTCACCGGGGGTAACAAGTCCTCATTGTTACACTCAGAAGATTCATTCTAAGCAAGTGGACCGTACATTGAGATCTCTCCTACATCCGGCTACGCCAAAACCTGACTTTCCATTCGCGGCACCTGCTACATACATCAGCGAGTGGAAGTCTGCACAACAAGGACACTTGAGTGTCAAGGCCTATAGCCCGGTGAAGGATGCAATTTTGACCTTGATTAGTAAGCTTCGAGACTACTACATCTTGACTGAGGTCCTTTACCCGAGCATTGATTTTACAGGAATGTTTAAGTTCTCTTCGACGACTCTTTATGGCGCCTGCACACTTTTCAAGTTATTGCTTTCCATCAAAGCCACACCTGCTCAAGCCAATCAAGCCTCGGCAGCAGCTCAGGACAATGCAGCATCAAAAAGAAACGCGGGATCGGACTCTTCTGACAATGAAGATCATTCATTGGAGGACGATACTATGGTCAAAAAGGCGGCACCAAAGAAGGTGAAGAAGAAAAAGAAGAACACAAGGTCCAAGCAGGACGATCTTGAGAATCATTTTTTGAAAGACTTGTCTCCCGCTCAGAGAAAACTAGCTGAGGCTACAGATAGGAAGCTCAAGAATGATTTGGACCGACACAAAGCTGGACCACTTTTCCTCATGATCCTCCCTGGGGAAATGGAAGGTACCTACATCTTTGTCTGCCAGAAGAAATATGGACAGCTGGCGCGCAACGTTTTAAAAGGGATCGTTCCGTTTCTGACTCACCACTTGTATGAACCTACCATCGTTCAAGCTGATCAGACCATGGGCAAATGGATCCCTGAGTCCGAAATTCAGCTGGCTCGACGTAAGAACTTGGTTTGGTGCACCAATACTTTGCAAGCCATTGCAGTTGAAGCACGGTCTGATATGGTGGAAGAAACTTTGGAGTTCCTGGATGACGTCATTGAGGATACCACGGATGTTTACCAGGGTCAGCTCTCCATTGATATGAATATGGCCAATGCTAAGGACATCGATGACAGGAAGACAGTTACAGGAATGCTCGATGAGATGCAGGAGCGCGAACGACAACTTGAGGACGCCTTTATTGAAATCAAAGCTCGCGATCACGCTTTGGCAGCAAAAGAGGAGGCTTTAGCTCAACAGAGAGCCGCCACCGCTGCTTTACAGGCTAAGCTCGATGCTCTACAGCGCCAGACTGCCAACCACTTGGCAATTTCCTCCCAATCCTCCAGCAACCACAAGGTCTCACCAGATCGTCCGGAGCCTACCATGCCACCCAAAAAGAAGAAAGGCAAGTCCGACATTTCTGCTAACAGGGCTCGCAACTCGGATGATCAAAAGCCTCTACCAAAGCAATCGCGTTCTCGGTCAGGGGTTCACTTCCAGCAGCAGACTCTGCCTACTCAGATCAATCCGCCAGAGTCGCAGATTCAAGCAGTCGATGAGACTCCGATGGACGGCGACACTACTACAGCAGTGTCACAGGATGAGAGCCAAACCTCTTCATCGACAGCGGCTTCGCCTGGCGGAGTCCATCCCTTCTTCCTATCCCCTTCTGGCAAATCCAGTGATGGATCGGTTCAGTCGCCCTCCTCTTTGACCGGCCGCGGAGCACATCGCTCCGCGGCAGGGTCATGAGAGGACCCAGGTCGCCTGCTGCTAGGTCACGGCGTGCAGGCAGAAGATCTCGAATTAGTGGCCCGTCCAGTGTTGTTTCCCACGCTTCACTTGACGAATATTTACGTTCTCTTCCAGCAGGAGACTGCCTTGGTGACAATCATCGCTGTCGCTCTTCACTAGCTACTTGCGTTACCTTCCAGAACGTCAACGGCGTCCTGGAGGATGGTGACCATGTGAAACAGCGGCAGATCAACTCCTGGCTGAGAGATGAACGAGTGGGAATCGCGTTGTTGGCAGAGGCCAAAACGTATTGGCCCTTTATCTCAGAGGGTCATGAATGAAACAATAGAATGCGTCAGGCGACGATGAAGGCAAAACAAAAAGATTTCTATTTGGCGGTCGCATATAATAAACAGCAGTCACGATCATTGGCAACTACAGCTTTTCAGTGGGGAGGATGTATTGTGACAGTGCTCAGCCAGGTCTCGCACCGAGCTAAGGAAGGTGGTAGCGATTCGACGGGGCTGGGACGTTGGGCTTATGTTCGTCTTCAAGGGAAGAAGCTGATGACAGGAGGGGGCGATGACCACTCCGGCTCTGTGATTGATGTAAATGAGGTGGTCCGACGCCCAGTTTCACGTGATTTAGTGGTGGTCTCGGCATATAGGCCAAACAGAGAAGGTACTGGGGAATCGACAGTTTGGGCCCAACAACGTACAAAACTCAAAAATCAAAAATCAAAAACTAAAAGGTAGAAAATATTTTTCCACACACTTCTCCAAAACAAAACTGTACCAGTCCTACGCGTTTCGTACGTACAGGAAAACAGTTGTTGTTGTTGAAACAGGAACTAAATTTAAGCCAATATGAAGGAGAGCATCATCAACCCGCCGGGGAAGGACCCGAATTCGATCATGACTGTAGCTGACCAAGGTCAGGGAGGTCTCGAGGAAAAAACCCGATCAAATTCGACCACTCAATCGTCGATTGCTCTGACAAATGACAATCCTGCCATCACAACTCCCAAGCACGTCAGCAAGCGAAACCCTTCAAAAATCGCCAAGGATGGCGCAATGAAAGGTCGCTCGCTCCTCCCATCTGAAGTTGCCCAAGGTCAGGTTGACCTCACGGCCAAAGCTCGATCGAACTTGACTACTCCTTTGTCGATCGATCTCACCAAGGATAACCCTGATCTCACGAATACCAGAGCCAACGCAAGCAACCCCTTCCAAAACCGCCGAGGATGGCGCAGTGCAAGGACGGCCGCTCGTTGCCTACAACAAGAACCTCAAGGTGTCGAGTTCCACGGCTCTACAAGAAGGCGTGGAGAAAGAGGTTTTGGAAAGCAGGCATTTATTACTTGGTCCTCTCGCACGGCGGAATACTCTGGTCGGGCAATCTCCAAATGCCCTGGCTGGTGGGCCAATGTCAACATGGATCCATCTTCCGACGCCCAAACCTACGACGACATCGCTGCGTTCATCCTGACTGGCCTGAAGGCATATGACCCTTCACTCGGCGGTTCGATGCCACAGCTTCGGTCCAGCATGCAGAATCTGTTCTCCCTTGGAGATCTCGAAGACGCCGACAACGACGAAGGTTCCTGGGCTCTTCGCGAGTACTTTCTTCGTCTCGCAACACAGTGCCCCACGGTTGTGTTCGATCTTGCAATGGCCTAACCCGTTATCACTACGGACGAAAAGTCGCCTCGCTTCTGGGAATTTTCGCTCATGTTCAACCCGACATTGATTGTTCAACGCGCCGAGCCGTTGACTTGGATGTGGCTAGCGGCATCTGAATTCTTTGCTCATCCTTGGACGGGCCCTGCGATCATTCCTCCCATTGTGGAGGAATTCGAGCGACTAGAACAAGAGTCGATAATAGCCAAGGCTCAGTCCAAGTCTAAGAAGCGCCCTGCATCGACTCCAGAGAATCCAAAAGGTGCCAAGGCACACGATTCGCGCCCGTCTCCCTCTGCCCCGATGCAAACGGAACTGACGCCACCAAAGGGTCCGTCCAAACCCTACCAACGAACTCCACCTTCGGATGCCACTCCTCCTCGCCAACAAGTGGTCATGTCTGACGCCGTTCACGTCATTGCCGGCACCCCAACAGGAACACAGGAAGCCAGTGTTCCAGCTGACGACGTCGTGGTAGCCAACACCCACCGTGGGAGGACCAGTGCGGAAAATGGAGCAGAGGACCACAATAGTGCCCCGACCTACAGGGACACTGATGCCGCTCTCCCCGCTCCCACGGTTCCTCTCACCACCGACGAACGATTGATGCGCCTTCTCGCTGTCCATTGGAATGCCTCTCCCTTTCGGCACATTACCATCTTCAACGTGTCCATTGTTTTTGATTGGCAGGGCGTCGGTTCGTCCGAATTCAATCAAGTCCAGACTGCCTACACTGCCTTCCATCAGTTTGCTTCCGGTATCTGGGGCAAGACCACTTCCAAGGTCGTCCTTCTACCTTTTGCTGATGGCCGATTCACCCGACAACAACTGTGGATCCGGAACTTGAAGGAGTTTGACGAAAAAGCCAAGGATTGGGCCCACCTGAAGATCTACCTCGATCCCAACTTCGGCAATCCTTACATCCTCAACAAACCTGGGAAGACTGGGTCCAAGACCTACAAGACTCGCATGCGGTTCGGGATGGACACTGCCCCTCCCATTCTCATGCAAGAACTTCGCGTCTTGTCCAGTGAGCCTCGGGCGGGCGTCTTCCCAACTCCAATCCAGGTTTCCCACATGGTCCGGCTTGGCTTCCTCCCGTTGCTCCCACAAGAATTGGCGATTGGTCCGTACTGCAAAGACTTGATGCGTCTCTGCGACTTCCAGTACCCCATCGGCCTCGTGCAAGAATGGGTCAACAATCCACGGTTCTTCTCTGCCAAATTCACTGGGTCTTCTTGAGGACTCCTGTGCTGGCACGTCTTTGTTCCAAAAGCCTTCGCTCGCGAGGCCGACCTGATTTTGGCTGCAAACTTGGACCTACGTAAGCCCAGTTGTGCTGTCTTCCAAGCACCGACCCATTACACCAGAGATTGGCAGGCGGCGAAAGACGAATTGGTCCTCGGCAAACAGTGCCCACAGCTTCAGTCCTTGATCGAAGCCATGCGGGAAAGGACTCGGGCGACGCGGGTTCTGACTGCAATCTACCGGATTCCCATCAAAGTCCCGGGCATGCTGACTTCTGCTGCAACTGAGAACTTTGGAAGGCTCACCCTCCTGCGATTCCTTCTTGGGGTTGGGCCCCGGAATACATTTACATTGAGGGTGACGAACAAGTCCTACTGGAGGCACTGAAGAAGGGAAAGCTACGGGTGATTAGCGATGGCTCCTTCAAGCAACAAGTGGGCACAGCCGCAGTCCAGCTACGGACTAGACGCGGAGGGCACGTCATCTGGATCAAATGCCGTACTCCTGGTAAACGAGAGGACCAGAGTGCGTACCGGAGCGAACTTATCGGTTTGTTAGCTGGTATCTTGGTGACTTCCTGGCTCCGCTTACGCCTACAGTCCCTCGCCAAGCCACGAGTCCGTGTGGCGTGTGATGGGATTGCCGCACTTTGCCAGGCCTTCTCGACTTGGCCGCTGTCTCCAACCGCCCCACACTTCGATCTCTTGTCCTCCATCCGCGAGGCCCTCCGAGTTTCCAACATATCCTGGGCCGAACAACACGTGGACGGCCATGCTGACCGAACCAAGACATGGCGACAGACGTCTTGGTGGGAACGCCGGAACTCCGAAGTGGACGACATTGCCCAGGGCTACGCCGACGAGGTGATCTCCACCGAGAACATGATCGCCACCAACCCCAAGTTCTTCTCTGAACCCTGTGCGATCTACATTGACAATGAGAAGGTCTCCTGCCTGGCCTTGGAATCGGTCGACGAAGCCGTTGCCCTGCCAGAATTGATGGAATACTGGGCAGCCAAAGGCCGCCTCGCTCCCGAGCACTTCCGATTGGTGGACTGGCCGATCGTGCACCGAGCGATGAAGTCTCTGAAGCCCGCCGAACAGCGCTTCATCACAAAACACACCGTTGGGATGTGCGGTGTCAGCAAGTTCCGTAAACGATGGGGTCTCGACTCCGAGAACCGATGCCCCTTGTGCGGACTGGAGGAAGACCACCTACACGTCCCCCGCTGCCCTTCCGTCCGGGCCAAGACCCAGTGGCAACTCCTACTCCAAGAACTCCAAGAATGGTTCCAGTCCACCACCACTGCTACATCGCCCAATTCCTCGGGACCCTTCTTTGCACCATCCGCACCCCTAACAACCAGCCTCAAACAGAGACTCCGTGGTACCGCCTCCACGGCATGTCTTCTTCCGCCCTCACCCAAGTCTGTGAGGCTCAACTCCGCCTTGGCCCCCAATGTCTCCTCGAAGGCCTTCTCGTCCACGGCTGGGCCAACCTCCAGCAACAATTCTACCGCTCTCGCGGTAGTCACCAATCCGGTAACCGTTGGGCTGCCACTCTATCTTGACAGCTCATCCTTATCGGTAGAGGCATGTGGAAGCACCCCAATGATGTCTTTCATTCTGACAAAAACATCGTCAACCAACAGCGCGCGACTGCTCTCGATCGACGCATCCACGAAGAGTTTGATATGGGTCTTCGCGACCTGCCTCGGAACCTTCGCCCTGCTATCCGTCGATCCCGCCTTGTGGAAGTCCTCCAACTCCTACTGGCGGACAAGGAGGAATGGGTCCTCGTCATCTCTGAAGCCCGCCGCAAAATCAGACGATCTCTTGCAGGCAGGCGACGATTGATGTGGGAACTGACCCACCCTACTCCTCGCCCAGCAGCCCCCTGACTTACTTGTCTCCATATTTACCAAAGTGATTCTGGTACCGGTACATCGCAAGCCACACGTACCCCAGTCTAACACATACATATTCTCCACCCCACCTCGCGTGGGAGAGCCGATCGTCCTTGACACTTTCGACTTGCAAGCAACGTTCCTCTCTTGAACGCCTCCACGTGGTTCAAACTTTGTTGACCAAAAGCAACCTAGTTCCTGGCCTCTACAGCCGTATTACACTGGCAGTTGGATACTCTAGAAGTAGCATACATACCAATTAATGATTCAGTGATATATATACATTTTGCTTTATTCTAGCATTCAATCACAAAAGTGAGTTCAACGATTTTCCCTTAGAAAATCCCTTCTTTACAGAACTCGATTCGACTTCTACGAGGATTCTGTGTTGAATACAGTACTTTGGGACATCTTGAATTATTCCCTACTGTATCTTACAAAACATCGATATTCCACTTGTATTGGGTCTTTCCCTTTTCGTGTGGATATAGATTGTCCGGCAGACTTGCGTCAAATCCCGACATCACGATCAAAGTCCAATCATGCGTGTCAAAAATTTGTAATAGTTTTTCTTGGAACGTAAAAACTCATATTTCGTCATATCCCAACAACGGAGGAGTTTCCTATCAAGTTTCCTATCAAGTTCAAAAAGGAAAACTCAAAATCCGCATGGACGACTATGTCAAGAACATGTTGGAAAAGGATTCAAAGCAGGAAACACCAGCTGGTAACGATTTACTGGAAGCTGGTAAAGGAAAGTTACTCAATGCTGAGTACCGTCAAATCGCTCGTTTGGGCATTCATTCAACGATTACTATTCTTGCCTCGAGAGTTCGAGAACCTACAGAGTCTGATTGGAAGAAGTGTGTTCGCATGATGCGATATTTGTTTTGTACATTGTTGTATCACCTGACACTTTCCGCAGAATCACTACGAGTCATGAAATGGATGATCGACGCATCATTTGCGGTGCATCCAGATTTCAAGAGCCATACTGGCGGCACTCTGTCCTTTGGAGGAGGTGCAGCTCAAGTGATGTCAAAGAAACAAAAGCAGTACGGAAGCGGAACTAATTGCTGTTGATGATGTTGTCACCATGATACTATGGACAAAGTTGTGCATGGAGTGGCAAGGGTATCCGATCGAGAAGAATATCTTGTATCAGGATAACAAAAGCGCGATTCTACTGGAAGAGAATGGTCGCAAGAGCGCGGGCAAAAGAAGCCGAGCTATCACTATTCGTTATTTCTTTATCACAGATCAAGTTGAGAAAGGAAATGTTAAGATGGAACACTGTCCAACTGACAATATGATTGCGGATTTTATGACTAAGCCATTGCAAGGTGAGAAATTTTGCAAGTTCAGGGATCTGATTCTTGGTCCACAGGACTAGGTCAGACAAGTATGTATATGTTCAAAAAAAAATTACAAAAAAAAATAAACAATGAATGAGTGCATGTCCCATTGCTGCCAATGGTGATTGTCACGATGGCAGGAATGTGTTCAAGTACAAAGTTTTCGACACGTACGATTGGATTTTGATCGTGATGTCGGGATTGGACGCAAGTCTGCCGGACAATCTATATCCACACAAAAAGGGAAAGACCCTATACAAGTGAAATATGGATGTTGTGTACGATGCAGTAGGGAATAATACAAGATGTCCCAAAGCACTGCATTCAACACAGAATCCTTGTAGAAGCCAAATCAAGTTCTGTAAACAAGGGATTTTCCAAGGGAAAATCGTTGAACTCACTTTTGTGATTGAATCATCAATTCAAGCCAAACATTAATCAAATAGGAACAATTTCACTCAAAGTATACCTAACACAGGAGAACTATTGTCGTGAAAGTGTTGTACAGTTGATTACAAATTTAGATTGCAGAGAGTTTGTTCTGAGCGCTAAAGGCACTCACGATAGAGCACATTTTGCTTTATTCTAACAGTCAATTCCTAAAACAAAAAATGCTTTAAAGGCTGATGATGTCACCTTAAATGACTACATGAACATGAATATTAGTCGGGATGAACTTCCATACAATATATATCCTCTTTGCATGTCTCTTATTAGTGCGGAGCAACAGAAAGAATCTGAGCTCCAGGCTGCACTCAATAAGCCAAATAGCCAATATACACGCACTGAAGTTTGCGGGGGCAATAAACCGTATGACATCATCTACCAGAATGGAAGGATTGTTGTGCCAAAAAGATTACGAAAAAGAATGATGAATTGGTACCATGAGACTTTGGTACATCCAGGTATTAATCGCATGGAAAGAAAAATCCCAATGCATTTCACATGGCCCAAGCTTCACAATGATGTTGAGAAGCTTTGCAAACATTGTCGTACATGCCAATTAACCAAAAAGACAAAAAAGAAGTATGGCGATTTACCTCCCAAGATGGCAGAAGTCATACCATGGGACACTCTTTGTATCGATCTGATTGGTCCACACGTCATCAAAGAACAAGGCAAACAAAAATGGGAACTCCATTGCCTTACTATGATTGATCCCACAACTGGATGGTTCAAGATCGCAGAAATACAGGATAAGAGAGCTGACACGGTATCTAACAAATTAGAACAAACATGGTTAGTTGGATATCCATGGCCACAGCATGTGATACATGATCGTGGAAGCGAATTCATGGGAGAAGTTCATGAGATGCTTAAAAATGATTATGGTTGCACAGTGAACCGGACAACTACTCAAAACCCTCAAGCAAATGCTATTGTGGAACGAGTCCATCAAACAATTGGATATATGATCCAAACGTTCTTTGTTGATGACACAGAACTTGATGAAAAGGATCCTTATACTGGCATTTTATCAGCGGTTGCACTCGCGACACAAGCAACCATTCATAACATTAAATGCAACTCCCAGTCAATTAGTCTTTGGCCGCGACGCGATGCTACACATACTGTAGAATTCCACGCAGATTGGAATGCTATCAAAACTAGAAAATAAAAGCGCATAAATGAAAATAATCTTCGGGAGAATGCAAAGCGAATTACCCACAATTATCAAGTCAGCAACCAAATTATGATCAAGAATGATTCAAGCCGCAAATTTGGAACGAATGCTTATTTGGGTCCATTTTGAGTGACCAGTGTTAATGACAACGGTACTTTGCGATACCAACGCGGTCAAATCAGCGATACCATCAACATTTGGAATGTTTCGCCATATCAAGTCAGCTGATACTGATCAACAACAAGCTAATTATCAGTACCAAAATGCTCGGCGTATGTCGATGGTACTAAATAGGTTTTCCAGGTTTCCTTGGCAACAAGGCCAAAATGGTTGCAGTGCTGATGCCCTAACCGCCTGAACAACAATATAGGTTTTTTCAACTTTTTCCTGCACGACCAATAGATGCAAGACAAAGATCTCATCTATTCTCACCTTGGAGCAAATATCCCGTTGTCAGGGACACAATGCAGTATATGCTACACTGGTCCACCAATGGAGCACTAACAAACACTGTTTGCGTTTAGCGCACACGGACACCTGTGACGTTATTATGGAACAGTAATCACAAGGGTCAACTGGACTAATATGAATGTTTGTCTTGGCCGCGTACATACGTCTACCGTACACACGATGAAGCACGGTTTTAGATCTTCTAAGAGGACTGATCACCCTTGTAGAACATGAGTGCCTTCCGTAGTGAAGACTCAATACAAATGCAATGTAGCTGATGCTATTGCAGAGAACACATGGTAGTATCTTACAGTACTTCTACATATTCTTCCTTGCCACCTCAGCACCACATCAGCTCCACATCACATCCAATTTCTTTCCTAGAATAATTTCAAAATATTTAGAGCTACCTCTCATCACTCCTGTTACATTCCACCACCTTCGTACATACGACAGTTCCTGCCAGATGGAAGTTGTCCTGCTGTGGGATTGTTCTGGCCGACAACCACTACCTTGGATGAATTCGTTGCCTCCTTGAGTACTGGAAATGGAATGGGGGTTCATGATGGATTGTTGGCGTTTGATTGCAAAGCAGCGACCTCATTTTGAGGAGTGGTTCCAAAAAGTCAACGACAACGCAATTCCTTTACAAGTGATGGCAGCATCTGTGTTGCCTTATGGGAAGCTCTGCCATCAACGGCACATCCAGACGGCGTTGGTCTGTTGGATGGGGATGCTGCTGCCGCATCCATGTTGCAGCAGCATACGTTTATCTCCTCACTCCTGTTGGATAATGGGCTCTTCACCAACTGTGGAAGACACAAAACTTTGCGAAATGAATGTTATCAGCTGGCAGCGTGGATCAGACACGTGGCCCAATGTCGTCCGGATGAGGAATTTGGAATCAGTGCGCTAGAGCGGTTGCCATTTCTGATCTCACTTTTTTCCCCAGAGGTGGATGGCCCATCCCAACATTGGATCCACTACTTTCCTTGGATAAAGATATTGAACTACCCGACCCATACGCCCAGTATGAGCTGAGGTCCATTTCTATGAAAGATAATGATACTTCCCAATTCGTTTGCAACTACCAAGTGCAGAAGGAACTGAGGATTTTCAGGCATTTTTCGTGAGTCCACTTGCAAATGCAGCTCCTTGTGTTGGGATATGACGAAATATGAGTTTTACGTTCCAAAAGAAACTATTCAAGTACGAGGTTTTTGACACGTGCGATCGGACTTTGATCGTGCGCGATGTCGGGATTCGACGCAAGTATGCCGGACGCAAGTCTGTCAGACAATCTGTATCCACACAAACAGGAAAAGATCCTGTACAAGTGGAATATTGATGTTGTGTACGATGCAGTAGGGAATAATGCAAGATATCCCAAAGTACTACTGGTATTTTAAAATACTAAGTATCACAATACATGAATGAATCCCTGAACAATCTCACCAGGTAATCTGCGTTATGAGTCTAGGTTTTGTAGCAACGACAGTTACTTTAGGCTCTGCTGAACCCATCCCCGCGACATGTTGTTCCATCTTCAAGTGGGACTCTATTTTTTGTTTCCTTGGTTTCTATTTTGCTTCAGTGTGCTTGCCAGCTGAGCCCGCAAACTGTTCATCACTGTCGAATTCACTTGCGAAGACGAAGAATTCTGTGGGGGGTGATGACGGCCGGTGTTTGGTACACGCGATTGAAAATTGAATCCTTGCCCCTGCTGACTCCTAGGAGGGTTCTGCAAATGCAACCGATGGTGACCATGAGGTGCATGTCTCCCACCATTCTGCTGGTTGTGATAGCCTGGATGCCGGTTCTGTTGATGAGGTTGTTGACGATTTTGGCTTGCTTGTTGACCGTGATAGTGTTGCTGCTGCTGGTGATACTGCGGCTGTTGGCCAGCATGACGGTGATTTGTTTGCTCTTGTCCCGCTTGCCAAGGGGGTCTTGGGGTTTGCTGTGCGGGATGACGGCCAGCTCCTCCACTATTAAATGGATTTTGAGCACGGAATCTCTTTGGTGTTGGCTCCATTGCACCCCATGCTCTCGTACCTGCTTGGTACATTTGATTTCCTCGTCCATTTCTATTTGCCAGATCCCGTTCATAAGAGCCAATATTCATACTGCCATATCCACTTTTGTAGCTCTGTCCATTCGAAATCCCCATATTTGCAATAGTCCCTCCTCCTCTATTTAACCTTGGTCGCCCAATGTTCTTGTCTTGCGCAGTAAGGGATGGGGGAGGTGGGACAGCCCCTGGGATCATGATACTCTTATGTGATAGCTTAAGAGGCTCAGTAAATGCCACACAAAGGACATCATTACCGACCAAAGGTTCCGTGAACAGGTTATCTAGACTTGTAAATTCAGCTTTCTGAGAGGCAGCTGGGCAACTAACAGTCGTGTCGTCCCCAACAGGGTGGATTTCGTTACTAAGAGGCGGCCTGACGGCTCCGACAAACCCGGGACATGCGGATTGGTCAGTCAACCGTGTCTTCGGCGATTTCGCTGTCTTGCTGTCTTGCAAGACCCCTCTGATTTTGGAACCAATTGTGTGTGTGAAGTGAATGAAAAGGTATCCATCATCTAGGCCACGGGAATTGCATAGAAGCTCTTCCTTTGTCCACTTCGTCAAAGTTGGTGTTCTTGAAATCACAAATCACACAACGGATCAGGGGACATGAGCAATTGTCAAGGGTGGCAACATTTCAAAAGGCAATAAATATACGTACAATGCATCTAACAACCTATCCTCTTCAATAAATGGGAGGAGAACAACCCATAGCCATGGCATTGCTTTGCCATTGGGATCTACTGGCACTTCTGTTGGATAGAAGTCAATGATTGGACTCTCTGGATCTGACATCAGCCATCGCGCTTCTTTTGGAACCGCGTGAGAAGAGTCCGATGGCAGGACTGCCATAAGTTGCTCCACTGGATTGAAAGGGGTGCTAATTTCCAAGGATCTGACATCGCATTCGAATCTTTCAATATTTCTCAAATCTGAGGCGAAGGGAGCATAGTGGAATGGGTAATACCACTTCCAGCTGGGGCCTAGCAAAGGGATTAGCTGATAAAAATAAATGTTACAATGCAGAACCATTGTACTCACAACCGTCGTAGTAATACTTCATTACCCAACACAGTCCCAAAACATACGAACGAAACAGATGCTCTCTTCCCCCGTGTGCTGCAACATCGTCTGCCTTACACTTGTCAGTGTAATACCGATTCTTCCATCCTTTTTCATGAAGCCGAACCTTGTCTTCGACATTCTGTGAATAAGCATCTAACTGTTTCCTTTCCTTTGTCTTCACACGATCTTTGAATGCTTTCAGGACTTCAGGGCTGGCATCTTCGACAAAGGAAGATGCTACGGTGTCATCATTCTCGCAACCACCATCAAATTCCTTTTCAGCATCTCCAACAACGCCGATCTTGGCGTCCCCTTCATTCTTAGACTCATCGAGACTCCTCTTTGTACCCCTTGAAGGCTCGGCCTTGATCCTCATGGATATTTCAGACGCATCCATCGCTTGGTCTTCTTCTTCCTTGATGGGTGGCACAACTTTGTGGTCCGTTGCTCCCCCTCCATCGGAAGATGGCGTGGCGTTGTCGGCTGTGATTTTTGAAGGATTTTCCAGCGCCCTCTTCAGTGACAGCGCAGCTTCCAGATTTTCCTTGCTCTTCATATGCGAAGGCTTAATCTTCTTATTACCTTTTTCTTCCTTCGACGTTCGCATTGATTCCTCGCGTTCCAAGATCTTAGCTGCTCGACCTCTAGCTGCATGATTTGGCTGGTTTTGGAAGGTTGGGGGAGCATCTAAACTCCTCCCACCAGCTTGCTTTCTCCGGGCTTTCATATCCTCTCGTCTTTGTCTATCTCGCATTTCATTGTCATGCTTCATGGTGAAAACGTAATCTTCTATCGCGCCAACTTCTGCCAGGATGACGTCGACGTGTGATAAATTAACGTTTCCACCATGGTTTGTGATGTAGTCACCTAATGTCGGAAGTGTCCTCTTATAAACGTTGAACAAGTAGTCCAATGCTCCATCACGGATGTCAAGGCTAGGTAGATGTGGAAGGAAATCATTTCCAACGAAGAAACAGAGAAATACGATGTCATCAATCAAGCGTTCGAGCGATGGTGGAAATGGTAGTCGTCCCGGTGCCAAGCAAGATGCGAAATCTGCAGCAAGATACTCCCGAAGCACAGGAATACTGACGCGAACGAATGGCTTTTGCTTGTTTTCTAGAATTTGCATGGCAAAGTCTCCTGCCTCTTCGTCCATAACCCGTTGCTTGTCTCGAAATCCGGTTTCAAGTTGTCTCATTTCTGCTTGGTTTTGAGATTTTCTTCCGAATAGAACTTCTTCTCTCGAAATATAGAAGTGAGCTTCATGTGTCGCAAGAGCTAGCATGATAAGATCGGCATCTAAGCCATGCAAAACATGGACGAGGTTGGGAGAGTAACCAGGTTGACTCCTTTGGAGCCGGATATGAGACATGATTTTATGTTCGCCTTCTCCTGGAATACTAGCATCGCTGAAAATGACGCGAATATTTTGCCAGGCTTTGTCTGTGCTCATGCGCTTTCGAACATAGAATCTGATATACTCAGACAATCTCAACATGAACGGAGTGCCTGGCGTAATAACATTGGAGTCCCATGCTTTCTTGGCTGGAGGAACCTTCTGCCCCATTTTGGAAAGTTCTTCTCGCACCAGATGTTCCACCTCGAGATGTTCCCTAGCCTCCTGTGCCGAGCGGAATCGACGTGCTCGTTGTTGATTCATCTTGGCCCGAGGTGCCACGCCGTCAACTGCGAGATACAGAAGCTTCCGAGGACGCATTGCGCGGAATAATCGATCGACATAAAGGCAAACATTTTCGTACATTTCTTCCTCGGTAGTTGGTTGTGGCCCATGTTCGGGATGTGAGCATGGGTGTATAATTCCATTCATATCTATGTATAAATTATCGCACTCCAACCCTGACGGATTTGGTCGGGTGGAGTCAAATTGAATTCGGGTGGACCCCTCACCGCCGAGAAGCTTCACACGTTCTTCGAGGACATCCTCCAAAATCTTGGGATACTTCTCTGTAAGCCATCTGAAGAAGGCTGGAACTCCCATAACAGAAGACTCTTTTCTTGCAGTGCAATGCCAATGCAAAAAGAATAATGATTGTTTATTGCTTGGTTGCTGGATTGGTGGTGACAGCAATTATTTTAACTCCGACCCGTGTGACTACCTGGACCGAGCGAAGTGCGTACTGTACCAGGTACAGTACACGTGTACGTTGTACCACTCTTGTATTTCGCAACAGTTGGGTGATAGTGTACCGGTATGAAGCTTCATATTCTTCTAGCTAGAAGTCAACAAGAGTGAGAATCTAAGCTTTGAAAAAGTTGAATATGGTTCCGCACTCAACTAGTCCTTTATGATATTAGAAACGAGTATGTTGTATGTTTTATATATTTTTAATCCAATAGCGCACATACTCTTTTATAAATATCCTTTTAGAAAATCATACAGTCTTGGAATTACAGATTCATATTTGCGGCTCAAAACCCACGATTGACTTGCCCAATTGCCTCGCCGCTGAGCACAAGGATACGATAAAGCATTTTCCATGCAAATCTCCCCTTTTTTGGAGGACGAACTAGTCTCTCATCCATGCACTCGTAAGAATGGCGGTAGCAAATCCCGTGGTGAATACAATCAAACAATTCATGTATACATGTCTTGATTAGAAACACTCCTGGGGGAGATTGCGCGTGAACCATGACCAGGGAACTGTTCTTCGTAGTAAGACCAAATGTGATGGAATACCTCTATTAGTTCGTGCTCTGAATGCCCCGTCAAAACAACAAGTTCTGGTTTCCATCTAGGTTCAAGTTGCAGGGCCACTCTGGAGGCAAGAATAATTGCAGCAGCTAAATGGCTTGGAAGGTACTTCTGAAAGGCGTACTCTTGCAGTGTCAAGTTGCAAAAAAAGTCAGAATACTTTTTTACATACTTTGGAATTTTTTCAATCAGCTTCCTTCCCTGCCAAGAATCGTTCTCAAATGTGACGCCTTTGGAAAGAAAGTACCCACAAAAATGAATGGCAGGTACGGCGCGTAGTTTCCAACCCAGACACCGCAGCACTTCAAGTTCCCCCTCCCTAAACGAGAGCGGTGTATAGCCCATCTGTCCAAGTTTCGTCAACCGCAAGAGCTCAGGAATTGGTGGGCAGTGTTCCTCGGCCTCTTCGTATTTGGCAGCAACGCTAATGCAAGCAGTAGCCAAGAGCTGCCATCTCGTTCTGGGAATATCACGAGTTCGGAATATTTTGTCAAGAAAAAGAATGCTGACATGTACGGTTGAGTTATGCAATCTGCACTGCTCACCAACGTCACTCATCCAGTCCACAAGGTATCGCCGGTAGGGCAAGAAAGAAGCCGTTGGATTGTATGCTGAAGGCGACACATATTCAGTTTGCTGTGTTCGCATATCATGAAAAAGGTCCTCACAAGATACACACAAAGCATCGTCGATTGGAGTCTGAAAACAGGTAAAGATGAATGAGACGCAATTATGCAACATCATCTTCTCAGCATTCCGATGAAACCTACCTCGATTCCATATGGCTTAACGTCGACGTGCTCCTCGTCACAATCCAGCGCCATTCGTTGCGATGGTTGAGTTGAAGCGTGATTTGTCTCCCATGGCTTTCAACGGAGCGTGTAATGGTGAGATTGCGAGATTGACATTGCAAGTCTTTCGAAAAGTCAAGAGCTAATCGTATAGGAAGCAATCAACACGTCATTCATACTAGAGAATACCGAGATGACGCTGACAGCACATCGATATGGCATTTCTTTTGTTGATGGAGCCAAACACACAAGACCGGGCAAGCAAGACCTAAACATACCTGAATTGGTTTGAATGCAAAGTCTACAGAAGCAAAACCGCTGGCACCAAGAGAAGAAGCGGATCCCAACATCTTGTATTTCGCTTCGTGTTAGAAGATGTACAGAAGATGTATGGATATCAATGCGATTTTGCCGTTGATATGGGACACGTTGGACGAGCCGTTGACCTTTTCAATGTGGATTGGCGGCAATTCAAAAGTTTTCAAAAAGGGGATATAACAATTTGAAAGTAGTTTTGGCTGCCATGCTCGCAAAACACGCCAATCGCTTTGAAAATTTGGTTTTTCCCGCGAGAGTAAAGCACGCGGACTGACTGATGTCTGTGCCAAGGATGTGTTATAGTCGATCAAATCGATTGCGCTCGTCGAATGAATTCAACGCACTGCCTGAGTGTACCGGTACACGTACACGTGTACGTACACGTTGACCTGCCACGGTACCCTGGTAGCGGCCTCCTACCTACGGTACAGAACAGCTACCAAGTACCGTTACCTGGTACTTCCTTCCTTCCTGTAATTACACTGTACAGCGACTCAGGTACCTGGTACCTGCTACCGGTGGTACCAGTACGTGTACGCGTACCGGCGCGGTGTGGGTTTGTGAATGTGTTTCGATAACCGTTTCAAGTGTACACATACCGTACGTGTACGTGTACCGGAACTGGTACTGGTGTACCGTACAGGACCATGTGAACTTTTCTTTAAAAATCCCTCCGCCAGTTACTACACCAAACCCAGGAACAGTGCTGTTGGAGTGGATGCGAGCACGATGATTTGCCATCAGCACCTTGGCGCTTTGGAGCGCGTCGAACGTTTCGTGACGATCCACGTCAGCTTCGCTGCTGTGGTCTCCTTACTATCTGAGGAAGCTATGGCCACGAGTAGATACATGACACTTGCTCTTTGGGTTTACTTTCTTTTTCAAAGTTTGGTTCTTCATCTAAGGCAACAATCCTCCTTGTTTTGGATCCTGGAATTTGAGTCACTATTTGCTGAGACGGTCATTATTAAGAGAGAGTTCTTGCTTCGTCGTGTTACATTGTTGTGGAGTGGTGCAACTGAATGCATCTTTCGAATTCGTGAAATGAGACACACACTGCCATTTCGAAACATTGGTGACAATCGAGATTCAGTCGATGGATCTGATGCTGAAGAGTCGTTACAATCGCCTTCTTTCAATGTAAGAGCACCCATGACACAACAGATTCAACGTGTGGAGCATTTGAATCCGCATGTGTGCAACAGTCGAGATAAGGACGATTAAAAACCAGATTGCAGTGGCGTGGTGAGCAGTGCACTTCTGACATCATCAACAGAGAGAAGAAAAACTGATGTTGCAAAAACACTTACGATACGGATCATTTTCGTTTGGAAAGAAAAAATGACATAGATTACGATGGTGAGGAGACTTTGTGACCAGGCATTGTTGTCGGTAGAAATGCAGTCTGCAAAGATGTGATATAGTATGGAAACCGATCAGAGGAGTTGCATGACAAATAATTTCGTGGGAAAATGTCAGTTTTGCCCAAGGATTGGACTCATTTTCCATTCAAAATGTCGAACCTCCGTTGTTTTTGGCTCTTGCTCATATTTTGAAAATCAATGGACTAGAAACGTTGGGTTCACTAACATCTGCGTCACCCTATCGAATGTCTTGTACTGCTGTCAACGGGTTGTCCAGAGCCAACGAGCCTTGACAACAACATACAACAATTCGACTGTTCAAGGGCTTCTATATATACAGACACAGTGGCCCAGGTTGTTTTAAGACGGCCACAGAGGTTTGTGGCAGAGATGCCTTTTCCAAAGAATGTTCCCTAACTGTCTCCAGCAATGGTTTTACTGGCACATGCAATCTATTGTTTCCTCAGCAACAGATGCTTGGTTTGTTGGTGAAACAGCTTTGCCGGTGCAGTACGGTACCTAGTAGGTACCGAGATATTGTACAGTATTATTTTTAAGATGTGTACACAGTGCGAACCTGGTATAATAATGCAAATGTACGGGGTAGTCTGCAAACGGTGGGAAAAGCAGACATCAGCGTCTTCAAGGCTAAATGAAACAGTCGGTCGATTGAGTCAGTCAATCGGCGGGAAAACGACAAATAGCTTAATTTACAGTACCATATGACACCCGAACACCAAACCCAACTATACTGTATCCCAACCTTCACAGAAGAGTCAAAGAGAGAATTGTGGATGCGATTGCTCATCCTTCTCAATCGCTTTGGATTTCGCAGACTCCAATTGGGCCTAAAAGAGTTTCAATGATGTTTTTGGGCTGACAGTTGTTACTAGCTGTTGGCCCCCAATCCCCCAGCGCAAGCGCTGGTTTCCTCCATTCGGCCATCTCGTTGCCGTCCAGGGTGTGGTGGGTGGGAAAAACGCTAGTGTCCAACGTGATCAACAAGAACATCGGTCAAGCGTTGCATCAAAGGCTCGGACTGGGTGTGAAGATACCAAAAAACTTCATCTGAGCGCCATCGACCAAGTAGTTCAATGAGACTAGTCGGGATATTGCCTTTGAGAAGCGCGGTAGCCCCGGTGCATCGAAGAGCACCAATAGCAACTGCTCTCAAATATTTTGTCATCATTCGATCTGTGACATTGCAAGCGACTCCAAACTCGGAGTAGTAAGTGAACAGTGGGGTGTCGCCCGTCGTGTGTTGACTCTGTCGAAGGTGCCGGACAATGGCAATCAGCGTAGCTGTTGGGTTGTCACCATCAAATGACGTCCCCAAACCGATCTTTTCGTCTGGCACTGCATTCTTTTGTTTGTCAAATATCAGACCGGCAAATGTCACAAGTGACGTGTCCAGGAGGCGAAGGGGAATGACGTCGCCACAAAATTCTGCGTCGTTGATACAAAAAACAGCTGCTTCAACTTGAAGGGAGATTGCGTTCCCGCCTTTGACAGAAATTTGCCAGGACGTAACAAAAAGAAAAAACCCAGCAACATCAATTGATTCATAGTCTTTGCGGCACTGGTGGGTTTTTTGGCAAGCTTGGAGGCTTGCCGCAACAAGGCCTTTGGCAATGGGCGACGAACTTGTTGTGCCGCTGGGTCCCCCTTCTTCCAACTTTTCAGCAGCCGCGTCCAACGAAAGTCCATGGTGCCCGGCGCATATCAATTCATCCTCGGATCAAGCAGTCCCAATTAGGAAAAGGCCTGGCCCATATATATATATCTGAATCATTAATTGATATTTATGCTACTTCTAGAGTATCCAACTGCCGGTGTAATACGGCTGTAGAGGCCAGGAACTAGGTTGCTTTTGGTCAACAAAGTTTGAACCACGTGGAGGCGTTCAAGAGAGGAACGTTGCTCGCAAGT